CCCAGCCCATCACCCTGGGGCCGCATCCAGCCCTTGCCTGCTGTAACTTCTTGGCACCAGTGCTCCAAGCAAAGCAAAAAGTTTTTTGAGAGCTGGAGAAAGTGGCTTTCTAGGAGCCCTCAGCCTTGGGTTGCAGGGAGTGTAGGAGGGACGGGAGCAGCCGATGACCAAGGGGCTGCTGGCGCCATGGGGAAAGCAGCAGAAGAGCTGCTGCTGGACTCTGGAGAGCAGCTATTTATACTGATGAACTAGGCACATATTTGGACAAGGAAAATCAGTAACCACCAGTACACAGCTTCTGAAGGGAGGGGAAAGATCCGCCTCCCACCGTTCCTGGGCGAGGATGGATGGCTTTCTGTGAGATGCTTTGGCCTGGAGCAACTTCATGGGCTTGGCACATGAGGGAAGGATGATGATGTGCATGGTGTGAGCAGCCAGGCAGTTACCCTGGAGCCAGGCAGGGCTTCAAGGCTCAGATGGACCCCCAAAAAGGATGCAGTTTTCTCTTGCTGCTTGCTGCCTTTTCCTCCAGGCGTCAAAGCTGTGTCAGACTGGCACAGCTAGAGCCATCCAACTGCCCAGGCCCATGAGTCTGCCCTCAAAGCTATTCTCTGAGATGATCTCTGGGACAACGGGATGCAGAGGGGCCTAAGTGCACATCCCTTCCATTGCTTCCCCATGCCCAGCCCTGCCCTGGGCTAAGCTCTGCCAGGACAGGGATCCTGCTCCATGCCCCACTCCAGGGTCTGAATGCACTTCCAGGGAAAGGCTTGTGTGGCTGTCTAAAGGGAACTTCCTGGGTGCAACCCATGCCACAGCCTCTCATGCTATTCCTGAGTTCCCTGAGAAACTGGGCTGTGGATTCCCTGCCCACCTCCAACTTAGGCAGATTTGGGTCCCTGCAGAAGTGCTGGCACCTCATGACCATGATGCCCCAACTCCAAGTCCCAGTGTGTTCTCGCCCAAACCTGTCAAAATAACCCTTTTGTCAAGTGGGTGAGATTTTGGGGGACTGGGGCGAAATGGACCCCATGTCCTTCTCCTGGTGTTTGTGCCCCCACCCCTTGCCTGTACCCCAGCCAGGAGCACACATCACTGGGTGCTCTTGCAGCCCTGTTTTAGGGGTGCTGGAGGTCCCTTGGCTCCAGGGTGCTGGAATGAGGCCAGGGCTGTTGCCATACTGTGCCCGCTTACTGTCCTTGCTGTCTGCTCAGAGAGGCCCTGTCCCCAGCTGGTACCTGGGTGAGAGCCCTGGTGCCGGGTCAGGCCAGCACAGATTGCCAGGGGACAGCTGGGAGGACTGGGATGCCTTCGAGAGCCACAAATCCACTCTGGAGCCTGGCCAGGGGTGAAGGTCCCAGGGGATGCAGACCCTCGGACCCCTGGGGATATGCCTGCAAGGGATCAGAGGGTCAACGGCCAGGATGCTGCGGGATGCTGCCCTCATTTGTAGCTCATGCTGCCAAGGATTGGTCCCAAAGACAGGGGACATGTGCAAGCCCGTCGGCGTCCCCACTCCACCCCACAACATCCCTGCCTGCTGTGCTGCTGCTTGGGGCCCCCCAAATCCCCACTGATTGATGGGGTGGGAACAGGTGGGGAAACGCTTGGGGCAGCTGCTGCCCGCACAGGTCGGCCCCAGGGGGCTATTTCGGGGCGTGAGCTCAGCGCCAGCAGCCGGGAGGGCTCCGGCTGCATTCCCAGATCCACAGCACAGCCAAGGGCCACCACTTCCCCACTGCTGGGCCACCAGTG